CACGGTGAATGGCTTAGCCATTCCCGGTTGCTTCTCGCTTGTTTCTTTCGCCTGTTTAACCCTTCGCGGTCGGATTTGCGCGTTCCGCGGGCTGGACAGGTATCCGCGGCCTTTGCTGTGCGGGCGGAGCGTGTTCTCCGGTGTACTATGGTTAGGGATGTTCCCGGTGAATGGAGTCGCCAGCGATGCGTTGCTGATCCGTGAAAAGGTTGCGCGGTGATGTATCAAACTATTCGACGGCTGGGTGTTTTTATTCGGGTGGGGCGAATGCTTGGGAGTCGGTAATGAATTATTTATGATTAACCCCCTGCTGTACAATTTCGTGTTAGAGGAAATGACAAAAATTGATGAATCTCAGTTTGTTTCAGTTTAAATAAAATATTATGTTCCTGTGATTAACTGTTAGTTTAGAGTATTAACGGAAATTCTGTCTTGCTTCTGGCAAATTATTAATGACAAAATATTTCTTGCGTTGGCTGTTATGAAATAAGTCGTAGGTTAAGGGGTTATTAATCATAGGTGAATCATTTGATGCCATTTTAACCGACATCGAGAATAATACAAGATCCGTAATACGGCGTGTGTATAAGTTATAAAATTTTATATGGATTTAATTAAAATGCATGGTTCGCCGTTTGAACAAGTACGTCATGCGTAAGGGGATGAAGGAAAATTTATTTTCATGCACGCCTGGAGATACTCACACACTGGTTTTCTTCTCAAATACGTAATGATTTATATCCGCCTTTATTATGAAACCTGTTAGAACATTTCCAGTCGGCAAACGTACGGGTCGGTAAGCCGAAGTTTATTCTATCATTTTACATGCGGAACGTATCGCCAGACACACGGAAGGAAAAAACAATGACACAAAAATATCGGGTATTTTTCTACATTTTTATCCGCATGCATATTGCGCGATGGTCATAAATAGACCGTGAGCATTATGCATTTTATGTTTTATTTTATGGTTTCGCGAAATTATTTTATGCCTTCATGAATTACTCGCGAATCCGCCCGTGCACAATAGAATGAGAAATTTTATTGAAGTTCCAGATAACTTTTATGTTATACGCGTCACATTGAACCGTTTAACAAACCAACTACACACACCCATTCAATACACGTTTTTATTCAAATCCGCCCTATTTTCAAACGAATAAAATATCCGTCGCGGCGGTTCAGACGTTAACACGGTGGAAGGGGAGGGACGCCGGCCCTTTTCCCAAAATTCCGCTCGCGGCGAGGCATAATTCAATTTTTCTATGCGATCCCACAGTTCCGCTGCTCGCCCATTACACCACATATTTATTAAATGTTTTATTTCGTCCGATTTTATTCCGATAAAAAATCGCTGCCTGCGTCGTTTGAATTTCAAGCGGCTCGCCCGTGGATTAAAGGGAGTACGCGCGGGAGTTGGAAAAAATTACCAGTTAAAAGATCGATTTGAACTTGTCGCGTTGAAACCTGGCTCCGTTTAATCGCGCGGAATATTTTTATCAACGGCGGTTGGCGGGGATTTCGAACCGCGTCGCGGCGTTCCGCGGCGGGGAGTGGGGTCAAATGTAGCGCAGAATTCTGGGCCGCTCGTGCGGCCGCTCGCCCGTAAAATTCAGTAGCACAAAACATGGATGTCGCGGCGTATGAGATATGGGACTGCAAAGGATTAATCGGGAGCTGTCTAGATTGATAGCAATTTATCTTGGTAATTAATTTATCTTGCCGGCCGATACGAGACGACATTATAACCCCCCGCCGGTTATGAATATGATTTACGTAATCGTAATAGAAATAATTCACTAACATTATATTTGCGGAGAACGGAATTTCGGCCGGCCGCGCAACGTAGTCGTTGATCGATGAGGATTCAACCGGTCGGGTTCGATTCGGAACGTAGACACGAATTCTGGTGTAACTGGGCTGTCTTTTGTTCGACTCGTTGGGAAC